ACTCGAATGTGTCTTTGAGATACTGATGAAACGTTGATGAAATGTTAAAATAAAATTTCAGACTTTTTTTTGTTGATTTACACGTCTCGCTATTTGACAGTGATTTACGTTAAACATATGGAGACACGAAGCAAAGGAGTAAGGACTCACGCGGCCACAGGGCGGGATCTTTTAGTAAGTCTTGGCACGTAATTTAACGAGCTTCGATCATCCGGTGTCGATTTGGCTGCGGAATAAATAGGAAACATACGCAACTCGTACTCACGAGACTGACAACGAGAGACCATCCTCGACTACGAAAACCTCCTCAGCGATCTTTAACGGAAAATTCAATTTTATAAACGTGTGTTGCACGTGCAATCAAGGGAGAATAAGTAAACTGATTTATGGCAAGCATGAGAACCATTTCATTAATTTTTACTGTTAAATTTATTATTCATAAAATTATTCCGATACCGTACAATTTGTTTTTTAATTATTGTCGAGACGTCAGCCTGGACTCGAATATCAAAATAAATTTTAATATGTAAATACCGATATATTTTGATGGATAAATTATAATGTCTTGAGCTGCCTTGACGGATAACAGTTCTTTCGTTGTAGCACGCGGCTTAATTAACGGTTTATCTGTTAGAAGATATGCAAAAAGCAAAACAGAACATACTAGGCATTTATATATGCCTTGCGAACCAATTAAGATATATACCCGGTAATAAAGTAAGCAACGCGGAATTAATGTAAAATATAAGAGCGAACGAAACGAAATTGATGTTTAAATTGTACGGCAAGATGTTTCTGCCACTTCAATGTTAGCAGAATATCATAATCACAAAAAAGCAAGCGCTTTGAATCCCGTTAAAGCATCTCGTCGAAGATAGCATCGTATCAGTGCCAACTACAAACTTGGTGCCGCCGAAGTTCTTTGGCCCAAGCAATTTTTTTCCTCACCTTGTTTGCCGCGCAATCCGAATTCATATTTATGAGACAGCGTATCTTTACGAATACACGAAAGGAAGAAGGGGACAGAAGGAGTATGTGAGAAAAAGAGAGAAAGAGAGTCGAGTTTATCATAGCGTTGCATTCGCGACACGGATGCGTTACGTTCTACGGCGCGACGACGCTGCATAAAGAAGCGCAAAACAAATCTCCCGGTATCACGTCAATGTCAAGATAGACAATGGTTATCTGCATAAAACATTCTAGATATCGTCTATCAACCGACAACCGGCAACGGTGTCGTAAACGGAGACGGTAACGTCCGATCGCCTGACAATAGTGTTTGGAAATTGTTATGAAAAAAGCCAGTGGAGGGTGCACGTCACTCTGCCGTAAATAATGAAAAATTCGAACTGACTATCGCGCCGATGGTGACACGTATTTCAACAACAGTCTGTCCTCTGTCTCCCTTTCCGATACACATATTAATAAAGAGAAAAGCGTGTATTTTGCGTGTATTTTGTTACAAAACAAAAAAAAAAAAAGAGAAAAGCGATCGAGATTAAAAGGAGCACGTATTTCATAATCCTCGCAAATCCATTGTCACGTCGCGAAAGGATTTTCGATCGGAACGTTGATCGATAAAAGTAGGGTCTATTTCAAGACCTGCTGATTTTTTGTCAAGTTCCGTTCTAGATAAAATTACTTGGACTTCGTCACGGATCTTTTATAGATATTACGCGCGACAATCGCGCGACAATCAACATACTCGTTAACTTGATTCGCAACGTAGGAAGGAAATTTCGCACGACTGCGCCAAGTGTATAGCTTTTGAAGTTACGCGAATTCGCAATCGCGAACGGGCACGAGCGCGATACAGATCAAATATTGGTACACTCACGCGCACGGAGAGAGGCGAATTCAATTCGATCTCAACTGTTTAATTATTTGCGCGCGTATCGACCGCGGATTGCTCGCCAACGAACAGCAACTGCGGCTCTGACTCACGTGCGCCGAAAGTTGAATGACACGTCGCAAAACGGTCGGCTAATTACACGTGACTTATGCGCTCGTATCGCGTTATTACACGCTCGTTATTACGGTATAATCCTGTCCAATTGCAACTACCCGCTCGTATGTACCGTGTTGCTTAAGAACCGACTGCTAATTGCGTCGGACACGTTTCCAACTTAGCTGGGTTATTAAACGCGCGGCGTAATATCGTTGTATGCGATGGATTTCCGGTGAAAAGGAGAAAAAACAAAGAAACAAAATTGACATTAAGCCAGATCTCGAATCGTGCAGGAAAGTGCACGGCAACATAGCAAAGTACGCTACTTAAAAGATCCGAAGATGCATTCTCAAGAATTTCCCGAGTTAGATCAGTTCAGTTGAATCAATGCCCGGGATATATTTCTGCATTCCTCTCTCTGAAGAACGTGAAAGAGAACAGGAGGAACATTGCAAAGGAGTTCTACGGCGAAATCGAAGCGATCGTTCAGATGCAACTTTCGTTCGATGCAATTTCGAGAACGCGGTTTATTATCCGTCTGGGTGCTAAATATTTTTATCAGTGACTGATTTACGTGTCGCGTGATTGCGTGATTGCCATTGGAAAAAGGCACAAAATCATTGAAAAATGCCCATTCCTCCGCCCCCTCTGTGTCCCATCTCTCGGATATAAAAATGAATAAGTGGGTGGAGGCGACGCGACGCGACGCGACGCGACGCGTCCGATGCGTGTAGCGCGTACGTGTAGCCTTTCGTGCATTCACACACGCGACCGAAGGAGAATGGAAGGCGGGGGCGTTCAGTGGGGGGGCTTTAATGAGGATGCTGCTGATTATCCAATTCGTAAATTCTCGCTACATTTTGATCGTGAACGACGAGCCGCGAGTAACAAGGATGACTCGCGCTCGCTCGCTCGCTCGTTCAACGCTACCGTACATTTGTCCCAGAAAATCTCGATTTCCAGCGCGACGAAACTCACTTTTCGCCGCCGTATTGGGAAATGAACTTGCCGTGCATTATTCAGAGAGACAATTAAATAGCACGGGGACAGCGTGGCAATAAAATAATCAGTCCGACAGTGCTTTGTGCGAAATCGTTATTTATATCCACGTATATCAATATTCTCCTGTATAAATATGCGTGAAATGAATTTAAGTTTATTAGGTATTTTAATAAATAATATTGGCATCAAAGAATAATAGCGCGATACCGGTACAAACAATACCGTACACGTGTCTCTTTTGTTCTTGTCATAACATTTCCGTAGAATAACGAAGTCTCTCTCTCTCTCTCTTTTAATTAAATGCTTCAATATCAGGTTTCACATTTTCTTTGTGTGAATTCGCGCGTTTTTTTCCCTAAGAAGCGACGTTGTGTGCGAGTAACAAACACGGTACTCTGTTACGTTTAATTGACATGGATAGTGCTCTTAACAAAGGAGAAGCACGATGCTGTATCATTTTGTCCATTACCGGAAAGACGGAAGTTTCGCGCACGAATTTAACGTTTCATGATAAGAGTGTTGTAAAGGGAACTACCGTGGCTACGAGGGGTTGCCGAAAAGAATGAATTTTTCGTATCAGGATTGCGGTAGAGAGATACCGCTACATCTCGTTTGGCATATCGCAAGAGGCATGACACAACTAGCGCGATCTAATTGGACAAATCATTCACGTGTGAGTGAGTCGCGCAGCTAGTGCTCGTATTATGCAAGCGTCATCGAGTGTAAGTGTACCTTTTAAGTGTCGGGATCCGAAGTTAGCACAACATGCCGTATCGGCATCGTAGTCGATCGTATTTCAAGACGCGTCAAAAGAGTTGACTTTACTATTCTTCGTATCAGTTATCATTCTTCACTTCTGTCCTTTATTTACCGTCCTTGTACACAGACGCTGACGGAACGTGGTGCAAAGGTACATAAGAACTTACCATTTCTAAATGGTAATTCAACGCGACGTGACGCGGCGTCATGAAATATTTTCACGATTGCATGTTTTAGCGAACAAGTGGCTCATAAACTTGACAAAATCATTCCACGACCGCGCGGATGACCGCTTAATGGAAACATTAGGCTGAACGATTATTACACTGTCTGGGTGAACAGTCTCGTAGGCACATTTTCTCACGCCATTGGTATGTACTTGCTGCCAGCAATGCGACGATGAGACGTCGCACGTTTAAGAACAATGAGCATGTTATTATATTATATTACGACGTTTGAAAAGGAGGCTCGTTTTCGGAGAAAATTAAAGATTCATACGTACATCAATTAATAAAGTACTTCTTTGAAAAATTTCTAAATTTAGTTTACCTTATCAGTGGCAACTTACAGCTTCATCCAAACATTTTTTTTTTAGAATATTCAAATAATAAACGTACAGTTTTATATTGTTTATATAATCGGTCAGCCTTTTTCGCCAAAGCAATGCGATCAATAATCTTTAACTTTTTCCTATACATATTGTATAATATGAATTGTATCGGACGAATTTCACGCGTTAATAAATCGAAATGCATGCAAACAAATACATACGTACATGTAGTGGGTAAAGAAAATATCGGAGCAGTCTCTCATTTTTCGAGCCATTTCATTATCATTTCATTATCATTTGATTCAGTGATATCGCGAATAGTATTTTCCGATAAAAATATTCTGCTTTTTTTTCCCGTAAAATTGCGAAAGTTATCTCAAAACCCAGAATACGCAAGCGTTTCTTTACCCATCGTACGCTTGCCCAATCCATATATTTTCCTTATATATATTGCTATTGAATATCAACATATAAACTATAATTCTTTCATTTCTTTATTCGGGTAATAATAGCAAAATTGTCAAGATTGTGTAATTATAGAAATGACGAAATTTAATTGAAAAGTATAAGAGGAAAGTTGAGTAAAAATTGCGCGAATTCTAGTTTGATGTAATACGTAGTAAATCACGAGACTTGAAAGCAGATAGTGGCATTTAAGCTTTCACACGTGAGGTGTGCTTCTTGCAAAATATGTTTCGAACGATGGAAAAGGCAAGCAATGAAATCCATCAAGAGACTCACCTAAGGAGCTTTCAGGATCGGAGAGGTCCGAAAGAGAAGGCACCTTCTGTATGGAGGTGAATCTGCCGGAGAGTGCTGGCACCAGGCTCTCCTCCTCAGCGTCGGAAGCCAGCTCTTGTTTCAACAATTTCGCCATCACTGTCAGCATACCGCTACCATCGGTGATGCCGCTGGCTCCCAGAAAGTTGCCCATGCATCGGACGTCACGCTGAATAAAGAAAAAAATTATTAATCCGACCTGACAAACGCCGTCTGCTTCTATCTAGATAAAAAACTTTACCACGGTGTACATTGTGTTTCGTACGTCATTTGACAATACGTTCGGTGATGTTTGAGATCTCCAACATGAAATCACCCAATCAAGTAAAATGAAACACATACGCACATCGCAAGTCCTCTCGAGGCAAGACTCGAGGTGTCGAATAACGACTGTTTCATCTTACCACTCGTGTGATGATTTTGATTGATTTTGATTTTCTTAAAATGCCTTTTGTATGGAAAAATATTTATGTCTGTCTCGAGTAGTATTACTAATATTTATGTAGGAACATAAAGGAGAGACAACCTCGAATGAAAATAGGGATACAAAAGACAACTACTATCAGTAAAAAAGAAACAGGGTAAAAACATATAGTAAAGCTTAAAAGGGATCAGAGAGAGGCCCCAGAATTCATGTGAAATTTGGAGGGAAAAGATTTGCACGTCAAAAGATTAATAAAGTGGAGAGATAGTGGTTGAATGTTCGAGGAAGAGAAGCTAGTGTGCGTTGCATGCCGAGGAAGAAAGGCATGACGAAAGGAAAGGGAGGGACAGCCTGGAGAGGATATAAAGAATGGAGAGAGAGTGCTCGTGCCGGCAATAGACGCGAGTTGCCTGACCTTCGTACGAAAGACTTCAAGTTGAATGAAACGTCCCAATGGAGTGACGCAACGGCGTACAACGTGTATGTCGTGATCTAATACTACGAAGAATCAATAGACGTGACTCGTACGGCGGAGATGTAAATTGTCGATGAGCAGCAATGTGCGTTTTTCAGCCCTCTTGGCAAATCTCAGACTTGTTTCGATCGAACGACGAAACGTACGAACATTGTGCAGATGTAATTGGAAAGCTTCTTGACTTTTTTCTACTTCAATTAGCGAACTCACTTTATCCGATTTACGCTCGAATCTTTCAAAGTTTTATCTATAATCACTTGATATTTTCAAGAAATATCTCGGGATAAATATAAAAACATCATTGTAACTCTTATCACAATTTTCTTATTCACAGAGTAGACGATGAGACGAACGCGATATCGGAGGATCGACGAGTATCGATTATATTTTTCCGATTAATTCTTTACTTCATATCACACCGTAATTAATTTAGCGAATGACTCAGCATCGGGGCTGGCAGGAAGAGAACGGTCGCGTACGTTAATGGTAAACGACTAAATCCGAGCTCGTACAACGATTCCTCTGTACTACACAATAATTATTTGTCGGCCTATCAGTTGTACGAGTGTAGAAGCACATGTACGCCGATAAATCGAAAACGTTAGACGTTTCCGAGTCTCGTCACGTTTTATCCCCTGTCTCTCCCCGTACGGTTCCCCACACTCTTGTTGCGACTCTCTCTCTCTCTCTCTCTCTCTCTCTCTCTCTCTCTCTCTCTCTCTCTCTCTCTCTCTCTCTCTCTCTCTCTCTCTCTCTCTCTCTCTCTCTCTCTCATTCTATGTCCATCTATATTTATTTGCTTATCTCTTCCTCTTTCGTCATCGGTATTCGTCGTCGAACGAAGAGCTATTCATTCATCGTGGGTTCATCATACGTGACCGAGACGACATTCGTCGTCTCGCACAACCACGATACTCGCGATGGAATAGTTTGAAATGGTTATCCGCGATAAAATGGCCGAACAGTGATGCCTGCACTTTGTGACGACAACTATGCTTGTATTCGCTCGTCAACGTCGACCGTGACCTTCCCCATCATTTTTGCACAGAGTATCGCAGAGTAAATAAGGTCAATCCTTCGGACAGAGCAACAGCATCAATAATTGCGAGTATAAAAATTTTTATGAATGTGCGCCGCAATTGAGAGCGCGCGTTTGATATTAATAATAAATCGCTGTAATTCGCTGTGAGTTTTGCCCAAAAAAAAAAAAAAAAAAAAGAATGTTTAAATAAAAAAGAATGCGTTGTTTGCATACTACCGTTCACGATGTTTACGCATTTTTAATTCACACCTCCCCCCTCCTCCGCCGTCCTTAAAATTTCTCATTGGAAATATTTGTAGCGGCAACGCGTAGGTATTTCACAATCTTGAAACTACTTGTCGATATTGTGAATGAAAATGTTCCTATCTCCGTTCCAGATTTTTTTCTCCGCGAAGACACTACATGTGTCAACATCGTGCAATAACATTTTGAAAGACGCGGTGTTAAAATTATCCCCGATTTAGACAATGCGACAACAAATACAAAGTCCATGAGTTCTGTACGGAACGACTGAATATATAATAAATGCATCACTCTGAAATGTAATCTTCTTTCTTTTTGCGAACGGGAAAGCTTGGTGCGTTCCTCACACTTCCATTCACGAAATTACGTGGTGCGTTCACTGTCACACGACGAAAAAGTACGAACAGAAGGAAAGGAATCGTCGATAATGTCCGCAAAGAAATGTCGGTTATCGCGCAATGTCAAAAGCGACGCGCGCCATTGTTTTTCACCCCGCCAACAATAGAGATTTTTCAAGCGCGTTCTCGGTAATAGTCTTTTCAGACATGTAAATCTATTCGGGCCACGCAGCGAGCGTTGCGAGAGAAGGAAGAACAAATCAGCGAGCTTCGCGGCGCTACTCCGAGAATACCGCGAGATACGTTACGCTCGTGGTATGCGAGCGCGAAAAATCGGATTCATTCAGGAATAGCTTTATCAATCTGCCGCATTCTTTTCTTTGAGCGCGCAGACGAACGCGCGGCTTTACATAACCGCCACGTGCGATAGATTTTTTATGGTTCCTCAATCGTGTCGAACGTCGTAACACGTGTGAACCCGCTGATCATATCTTCCGCGGGACGGCACGAGGAACGCGATAAGGCAAGGTAAATTAATTTGTGTATTCTGCTCGCGGATTCATTACGCATGACGGAGTGAGTTGAAAACTAAATGCTAATCGACGATGCAGCAACATATTTAAAATATTATTCGCCAGAGGATCTAGATAGAGATTTTTATCAAGCTCCGAAGCACAATCAAAAATTCGATTAAAAAATACGTTCTGTTTGAAAATAATTCACGAGACGGATATTTTTACTCGTTTGTTTCCGCAGTGAAAAATGCCGCATGTTGGGAAGCAATAACTGACAGAATTGATGACGAGTAAATCTACGCACGTGCAAACACGTGTAAAAATAACTTCAAACCTAGGTCCGAAAGGAAAGTCTCTGTTTGGACGAGATAACGAAATACTTCATGTTTCCATTTTTCAAATACAAAGCTGCATTAAAGCGATAATTACATGCACATAAGCGGATAATTATGTGTTTGCGTTTGTATTCCACAAATATTTCTTTCATAAATGTTTTCGTTTCACATGGCGACACGTTTCTCGGTAACATTCCGACGAAGGGGATCGCACGCACGGTAATATGTTAGCGGTCAATTTTATCGATGAACGCGCTATCGCGAATCATCGTCATCATTTTAGCGCGCGAACGTCATCCATTCGATCGTGAACGCGCGATCCATACGAGTTACATCGAGCGATAAGATAAATTTCACGCCGACATCGGACACTAAGTAGCAGTATACGAGCGGTCTGTCGCCCACCTCGCTTTTAGCAAGACGCGCGAAAGGGAGGAGAGAAGGGAGAAAGCAAAGAGTCACAACGGACGTGATACGGACCTGCGGTTATTTAAAGGTTTCCTCGCGATCTAATCCCGGTTCGATATGACGACTGGGGAACTTGTCTACATACATCTCGAAAACTAAAAGATAAATAAAATAAAGCGACGGAGCGGCGGCTCGCTGATGAGGAGAGTCCGAAGAGCGGTTCAACAGCCGAATGCAAGTTAATCTCAATTAAAGAGACCGATATCAGTATCGAGCAGATTCACCTATTTGCCCATTGAGTCACTCTCTTCACGCGCAATTTACAGAAGATCTACGTTACGCGCTCGTCATACAAGTGCGCGCTCGTCGTCTAAATAGCGCGCGCTTCGGTGCCTTAATATGTCTCATAAACTTGTCCGTTACGTAACGCGGTTTGCAAACGCGGTGATGACAATGTAGCGGCAGACTCGCGCGAGCGAGTGTTATCTTCGATCGCCATCTGAAGCGATAAATCATTATAACGAATCTCCGATGAGAGAGACGCTTGCTTCGTCATTGGTGTTGTCGCTCGTCAATGAACACGAGAGGGTGCGAGTCGATTCGCAAAGGACTGTACGGAAATTAAATTTGCGCACAATGTTGAGAATGCGCGTGGAGTGAGTCAGAGAGCGTGCGAAATAATACCGAATCGATCGAATAACTCTCTCTCCCTCTCTCTCTCTCTCTCTCTCTCTCTCTCTCTCTCTCTCTCTCTCTCTTTCTCTCTAGAAAGAGAGAGAGACAAAGAGAACTTTGTCTCTCTTAACAAGAGAAGAAAGATAAAGAAACCTCTCTAAACGATATAAAGTGCCGGAAGAGACGAGAGAGAGAGAGAGAGAGAGAGAGAGAGAGAGAGAAGGGGAAGGAGGGAAGAGAACTGTTGGTATCGAACCTCGTGCGGTATTCATGTTTTTATTATTTCGACGATGTAAAAATAAGATATCGGTGTGGCGCGCGACGCGCTCGAGGAAACGGACGGCGTACGTTCAGGTGGCGAATCCTTCGATTAATCGCTCGTGCACCGTCATACACGCAATCAATAAAGTCATTAATAACGATGACGCCATTATACACCGTGCTCTGATAATTAGTCTTGTAATCCCCGCTTTAGCACGATCACGTAAATTATCGATAGCTCGATCCGATAATTCAGTGTCTCATAGAGCTTTCCGTTCGTTCTATTCCGGACATGGTAGGATTCATTTTCTTTGGTGAGCTCTTATCGTGTATAAACACTGAAATTAACTCGAATCTGTGTGTGAACGATTCTTTATCAATATCTCAAAATATAAGATTAAATTTTTATCTAGATTTTATTTAGTATCTCCGTCGAAACGATTTTATAGTTCTATTCCAATAATTCCGGTATCACAAGTCAGTTTCAAAGCGAAAATCTCGATAATGCAATAAAAATATGTTCTACTTATTATTGTTATTATTGTTAACGTCGCTAACATCGATAAGGGTTCGCGTTCGAATCATCCGCTTCGAAGGAAGCGTAAAAAGTGGCACGTAAGAATATCGTAAGAATATCGTGAGAATATCGCAGCGCTGATTGAGAAATGGGAAACACAAGACGATATTCGGCGATGTTACGAAACGGCTTGAGACCAATTTTATTCTCTTGCATTGGATTTGCCGCCCTGGATATCTTATCGACTACGCTGATTAATTAATCGGTCAGACGTGGCTACGATTATATCAGCCTCGAATGCGAGCGAAATTAAATTAGCGAACGACTCATTCACCGTCCGCATTAATAGTTCATCGCAAAAATCAATGGCGAGCGCATCTCTGCCGCTTGTAACATTCACGCCGCGCGCGCTGATATTTCTTGCAGAAACCGATGAATTTTTCATTCACGAAGCCGATTAAACGTTTTCGTCCCGGGGCAGATTGTATCGATGATTTCTTAATACACGAAACCTGCGATTACCAGCGGAACAACGAAGTAACGCCTGAGTTCAACCGCGGAGTAAACTGTACGTCTGTGCGCCGGGGGAGCAGGGAGATGCGTCATGAGACAGCTTTCTTTACGCCCGTACTTGCTGCACTTTACGGCTCCCGTTGATAACCCTTGTCAATAATCCGATAATTGATAATGCCGTGAACTGCGATAGAAAACGAGTTCTGCACGGACCTCGGAACGCAACGCGGAATGCAGATTGTGTATGCGCTCGCGTGTAATAAATACGCGAAACAAATATTTGTAATCGGACATGCTTGCGCAAGTCCGAGCAACGTATGTCGACATATTGTGCAAAGTCGAGGATGTGTAAAAACATATCGCGCGCACGCAACTGAGGAAGCGGATGGACCGCGCCCATAACGTTTAATTCGGGATCGATGGCTAAGTATTCTAGTCATTAAATCAACTAGACAACCCGCTATTAACGACGGACGATTCCGAACGTTATGTGTTACGTCTCCGGCTTTAAGCAGAAATACAATACTTTCAGTGACTTTCAGAAATCTATACGATCAGATATTCTGTGCTGGTCGTTGTGAAATTTTAGGATGATACAAAGCTCTCGATTGGATGCAAGGAAGAGTGTGCGTGTGTGTGTGTTTGTGTGTGGCGATCATTTCGCGCATCCTCGGTAAAAAAGCCGGTGTATGTCAGAGTCGGTGTGTGGAGAACTCGAGGACACGAAGATTCGATGTCGCCTTTTGTGTGTCGCCTGTTCGCCGAGGAATGAGGAGAACACGCGGAGGCGAGGATGAAAGTGTAGAGAATGACACCGCGTGCACGCGGGGTCAAGTGTACAATGAACGGAAAGCCGGGATTACGGCGAGACATTTCACAATTATCGGGGTTTGAGGAACGAAAATTGGCTTTTAAGAAGTTGCGCGCGGCCGAGAATCGATGCGAACGCGACGCGTGCAGCGAATTCACGTTCGGCTTGCAGTATTTTTTCTATGGCTCTTGCGATTGTTAGATAATTCTGCTGGTTAATTTCGGAAATCTTCGGTATATGTACCTTATTGCGGCGTATTAGCTCGGTTGTCCGCAGCGCGTAGTGACCGAGTGACTTTTGCTGTCAGACGACGCTTCGAGTGTAAACATGCTTGGACCTGCGACTTCTCGCGTGCGATTAACTTTTTGTGTACAAATATTACGCTTTGCGCCGCGTCCGAATCGTACCGTACTACGTACTGATACGCGCGCGGGATATATTTACGCTAATGGGGGGCATTATGAATTAATTGGCGTTTACGTGAAGATACTTCTAAATCTTCCGCTGTTCTGTTCCCCGTTTTCTTTGCGGGTCACTCATTTGACGGGCTTGTATCTTTCGCTGATGTGTTTAGTATTGAAAATACTATCCCGTGGCAGCGTTCTCGTGTAACAAGACGCAAATTATCGGAATCCCGTAAGTACTTATCGAGACAAATATGATAAGAATTTTTTCGCGCAATCGCGCCAGCCACTATTCGCTCTCGATGCTGCTGTTCTCATACTTGCGACATTTCTCGCGTGAATCCCGCCTTTTGTTCATATCGACACACGGTCGAACACGGAGCAGCACGCAGCGTTCGAAGCGCAACGTCCGCGCAGCGTGCGTGGTGTTGGATGAAAAACTTAAAATTACATCGTTCCCTTACACACCCGGTTTTGCCGCTACGCATGGAAAGCAAAGACGCACGGATAGAAGGCCAGGAATGGAAGGCGTGGGACGGTGAGTGCACTAGCTGCGAGGCGCACACGTCACGTGGGCAGTCCATAATAAAAATATTACGGCAAACGATGAAAGGCGATATAATAATAGCGCGCGATGTTAAACGGCGAGGAAAAAAGACGAAGATCGCGAGACGCTGCGAGGTGTATAAAGGGAAAACGTGTCGCGGATTCGTGCTGGTCATTTTGCACGCGACGCGTCCGTTTGTCCATTCAATAGGAAATAAAAACGACGCGGGAGGGGGCGGGGGATGTAAAATGCGCGGACGCGCACGTTCAGAGAGGATCCGAGAGCGTACAACGCGATCGGAACTGCGTTACGGCTTTGCTGCTTTTGGCTCGCTCGCGGCACATGCTGGAGGATACGTGGAAAAAAATCGAAGAACGAGAATGGTCGTGTAGGACGAAGTTGCTGCACCGGGCAAATGTATGACGTAGGCAAGGCAACGGTGCATGCGACTAGAACGACGAGGCGCATGCAGAAGGTCTGGCCGTGCGCGCGATGCGGGAAGGGATGCTATTTCTGGCGGCTTAGGTTTCCCTTTCTCCTCCCCTATGCGTCGCATTTCCTCCCGCGCATTGCCTTTCCACGTCTCCTCGCTTCTCTCAACTGGCACACACGCACGCACGCACGCACGCAGGCACGCACGCACGCGTCAGGCGTATACGCGTGCAGAATCTTCCTTCGATCGCGGATCGAACGATTCACGCCTCGATCCCTTCGAATCTCGAGACGATCGCTTCTCTCTTTTTCAATTTTCTCCCAGCGACTGCGGTTTTAGCCGTTTAGAGCGTTTCCGCAAATGTCGGTATTAGAGTTAATCTAGGTTCCACTGAGCGAAAAAACGGTGTCTAGAAACAAGTTGAAGGAAATGACTTTTAAGTTTTGGTCAACTTTAATTAATGTTCGTGAAGATAGGCGGCTGTGTGTGTGTGTGTATGTGTGTGTGTGTATGTGTGTGTACGTGTGTATACTCGCGCTAACTAGTTCCACGGGGAGTTCTGAAGGATATTGCAAGAAATAAGGGAGTTGCAATTTTTGATTACATGCAAACTTCACGGAATTAATTTTCGTTATCGTTGGCGATCGGTTTTGATCTTCCTCTTGATCCTTGATGAGGATCGAAACGAGCGTACCGCGCTCGAGGGAAAAATGCTTCAAATTAGACTTAGTAAAAATTCGACTCGGTAGTTATAAACTGAAAAACATACGCTACGAATTACGCAACAGGCGCGTGCAAAAGCGTTGCAGCAATTTTACATCACATTTAACATTTGCTAAATGTCACAGGCGAGGCCGTATATTATCCATTTAAATATCTAAGCGTATATAACATACGAACGAAAAAGAACGCTTTCAATGGAACGAGTCGGAGAGCTTTCACTCCCTCTCTCATTCTCAAGAGCGAGTTTCGAAATTATTTATAGGATTATTGACGAACCTTACATAGGACATCCGTTGTAAAAGAAATCGAAGAAGATATTCCTGACCTTCTTCGTTGATTGGCATATATGTTTATACAGGAGGATATAAATCGACCTGCCCTGCGCCACCGGTACAACCAAGAGAGCCCGAGTGAATAATTCGCAGCGGTTTCTTACTGAAATGCTGCGTGATCTTCGCAGCACTATGCCTCGGGCAGTGTGAATCGGTTGGAGAAGCCAAAAGTCTCTCTCTCTCTCTCTCAGGGCAGCGCACGGCTGTTTCGGTGTTTCGCAGCATACGGATCAACGGCAGCAACCGAACGCGTTCGGCTCTGGCGGCTAGTGGACAAGGCAGGGAGGAGAGAGAGAGAGAGAGAGAGAGAGGAAAAACAAAGAGAGAGAGAGAGAGAGAGAGAGAGAGAGAGACGGAGGGAGAGAGGGAAGAGAGAAAGAGGTAGGGACCAAGGGAGGCAGCGAGGGAAAGAGAGGGCAGAGGCGAGACGGACGAGGGTCAGTCGGTGACAGAGAGATGAAGGCTGAAGGCGCGTGGGGGATGGAGGAATGGGGGAAGCCGGAGTGCCGGTTCTACGTTCATTCATAAAACGAAGGCGGAGAGCGACAAGGAACGAATTGTTAGTGGCACTCGCACAATCACCAGCTCGGCCAACGCGCTCTCGCGTCGAGAGAGCGACGAATATTCGTGGCGCGTATCATTCTCTCGGTTGCCATTGCTCGAGGGAACGAATATACCACTCGATAAAATTCATTTTCTCCCTTCTTTCTCGGGAGCAATGAGAACGGATGATCTTAGCTATCTGTTGCGAGACTCTCTTCGAGGGGAATCTGTAAACATTTCGAAATTCTGACTACGTGGCTTTCGATTGTTGTTTACTGGTAGCTGATATTTTAGTCACGTAATATAATTATCGAATAATTGATATAATTAGAGATGTACGTACAAATCATTTTGAAATGTTTACGAATCTGTTTCTCTCGCAACATGTAAATACAATTCTTTTTCGGTCTAATTGTTCGAAATATATCAGCTTACTTTTATGGATCTGTGGTCGATGGGATAGCCTTTCCTGCTGCCGGGGCTCTCCTCGTAGAAGTCCTGATCTTCCTCCCCGTAGTCGTACAGGGATTCCATGTCCATCTTGTCTGCGAATAAAATTAACTTGATTAGTATTCTACAAGACTATGCTACACAGCAAACGTAAGTGTAAACTTGTGCTTACATTACGTTTTAGTTTACGTAAACATAAACTTTGCTGTAGTAAACACGTGGATGTTGCGCAGAGACCGTCGCGTAAATGAAGGTATATAAACAACGAGGCTCAGTATGAATAAAATCTCCGAGTTTGCGTGGTTCCTTCGCGCGAATCACGTGACACGACGCCCCAATTATAATTTTATACCTCCGCCGGCTTGGCACGATATTCTGGTTAGCGGGATACATTTATTTATCAGCCACTAAATAGTCCACTTTTAGATTCGCGGTCGATACCGTCCGGTAAAAGACGATGCGTGCTAGTCTAAAAGAGGCGGCCGACTAATATTCTTAACGAATTATTCCGTATAATAATCCGGCGATTATGCCGAATATATACATACGGAATACCTTGAAATCTCTAAACTTTCAACTTGGGAATTTTCCGACTTTAAAGTCATTTTCCTCGTACAGAAAATTATGGAACAGACACCGTTGTTTGTTGCAACTTTGCAAAACATTACGTTATGTAGTTTTGATTATGTCTCGCTATATTCGATCATAATTCACACAATAATCGAAGTTATTTTAGCTCGGGACGGAGTTGTTTCAGTTGTGAAAATTTCAAAGAGACAGCCGGTATGGCTGTAATTGTAAATAAATAAATATGTCCACCAGAAAATATGCAGTCTTAAAGTAAGCTTCAATGCAAATGCAATGTCAAGAGTTTCGTGAATTTCTCTTTGTCATCTTAAATAATCATTCAGATCTTATTACATACACACACACACACAATATGTTACAAACATTTCCAAATATATGTAAAATGTCCATTTCGTTCACTTTTTGATTTTTAAATTATTCAAGCATTTACCTCGGTGTCTAAACCATCGTTTTTTCTCTTTCCAAAAGAGTTTTATTTACCGCGGGTTAATGGGAAAATTTAGTTTTTGTGTTAATTAAGAGGAAATTTTCGTACAAGCCGATGCTGTTGTGCGAAGCGTAGAAGGTATTCGAATCTCCGTCACGACGATGATCAGGTTACCCCGGCTGGAACCTTAGTCGCCAGATGGTAGGTGGAAAACTATTCGGCTACCTCGACACTCTCACGACCCTTTACATGCGACTAAAATGTATCTACAAGAAGCTTCAAAACAAACGGACGAGAGAAGGCTTCTATGACGAGGGTATTCGCGATATCGGGTGCGTAAATTATTCTCTTATCGGTCTCACAAGAAAAAACGATATCGTTCGTAAAGACGCTCTCGAGATATCTTGTAATATAATTAACGCTTTAAGCCGTATATATTCTACAGTACTGTAGCTTGTAAACTTCCTACTGCTCTATAGTAATAAACATTTAACACTTATTAAACACAATGTGTATGTGTAAATATATATATATATATAATATATATGTGTGCTGTATTATTATACTATATAAAATTATATCAATTATCAATGTGCATGAAGCGTAATCTCATAAAAATTCGATTAAATACTATGTGATGAAAGTTAGTGAATAAATTAGTGAATAAATGAAATTATTGATTGAATGAAATTGACGAATTGTATGATTTCCCGTAATATCGCAAATAGAAAAAAATTGATTTCTTTTTTGTTGATGATCACATCTTTCGAGATTAACGACAGCAACAATGCTGTCGTGAAAAATACCTTACTCTCGTGAATTCGCAAGCGAAGCTTCAGCTAGATTAAAGACGAGCAAGCGCGAGCGAGAAGTGGGGGACGGAATGTTTTCGGCCATTATCGACAAGCAAGATCGCCTTCGAGATTTTTCACGTTCATGCATGATCTTGCTCGACACGATAGCGCAGTCAATCAACGCTTCGCGACTTTCGCTCGGCGTATACTCCATTATCGCTCCGATGCTTATCATTACCGCATCGCGATAAACGTCGCGTAATTTCTCCGAAAGTGTTTATCGAGCTCAAGAAAAAGGCGCATGAACAATGGACTGTCGCGAAAATATCAACGGTTTGTCCTCTCCCGCCCCTTGCCCCTTCGTCTATTTTAAGCCGGAAGCTTAAATTTCGAGGATTATGTGAAGAGAGACTTGCGATAATCGCGGGGACTTTCGCGCGCGAATAAAGTAGAAACGTTACCTGATATGTTAGTAGATTAATCATGTCGATTACTATCACGATAACGCGCTGAAAGAACTCGGTAATTCGGAGCCGCAAATATCTCAAACCCGCTCAATCCGCCATGTTGCTTGAGATAAATGCTTCGACTTCGTAAGACGCAACAGGGAGGGCGCTAGACATTAATGAAGCGTTCTGTTTTAACTGCACTATCTTCATGCCTCTTCCACTTGTAATCTGATTGGTCATCGGATAGAGAGTTTCTAAAACCATAAAAATCTCGCCCTCGGGAGATATTGAAAATTCCGGCGAATTAGAGCGCCCGATGAACCTTTTCGTCACAGATCGAACATTAACCTCACCATAAAAAAAAAAAAAAAAAAAAAAAAAAAAAACTCCTATAAATCAATTTTTATTAAAACCTACTCGTTCGCGAATTGACCCTTCGCAATATTGAACGAAGAATTCGCGTTTTACTGAAAAACGATGCGCAATTTTTTTCCGCGTGTGCTCGAGACAAATCACAATTACGATACGGATAAACCGTCATTTCATTAGCGACAAACTTTTATCGCAGCTCGTAATGCATAATAGCGTTTCGATTGCACGATTTACCAACAAATTGAATTATCGCTCACTGAGGCTTATTGACTAATTGAATTATCAGTTTTTTTCCAACGCAACGTGCAAACATTTGTAACGTTAACATATACGCGCGATATATTCCCAGAAGAGAAAATATACCATTCGAAATACCGCTCGCGCCCAAAGTAGCCTCCCTCGTTGCAAAACTGTAGTGTCTATTGTCTTAGGCTTATTGAAGGCAACATAATATCTATCGAGTGGCCACAGCTAAGTTTCCACATGCGGGCAGACGCGAATCTTCTTTCCCGGTCAATTCTCGCGCGTACGCAGCTGTATGTCAAGCCCGACCCCGACGCGACGTCTCGCTGTTCACGGTCCGAACGAGAAAAAAAGTGTCATGAATCATCTTTGATCTTGAACGAACTACTACAGCGAACTCTACGCCATGCGTTCGTGAATTGACCCTTCGCGAGAGCCGAATAGATTTGGACAAATAAGTCAACACTAGGAATATGGTCGCAACTTTAACGCCATCGACGTCTGTATGTTTGTTGTTTTATCGTGGGAAATGTTAAGAAAATCTCCAGGTTTAGACCCGCCGACTTTAGATTACCTTGACTGTTCGAAGAACCGTGCAGCGAATTGTTGCGAATGTTTGTACGGAATCCGTGATAATATACACCGTCCAAGAAACAACCAAAGAATCGCTCCTGCAAATGCTTAACATCAGCTATCGCATATATTCGCGAGGTACCGAATATTTCCTTAATATCTCCAACCTTAATCTTTAATAAATGCGGTTTAATTGTCCAGTGCGATCTATTAATTTTCTTTTTACAGCGGAGCGATTCGTAAATTTTCACGGAGGGATTTTTAGTGCTGTCAGTCACAGGAAACGGTTAAGGATTCGACATTTGAACATTCGCGTAGCTGTTGAGGGAGATGGGACTGTCGGGTGTTTCATCGAACGACAACCGATCGCTCTCGTTTCGAGTCGCTCGATCGTCGTGTCCGCTCGTCGTCCATTACAGAACGTTCTCCTTCTTTGTCACCGTTCGTCATCTTCGGTAGAAGCAAACGAAAACGGGAAGAAAGAGGAGAGAGTGATAAAAAAGAGGAGAAGAGAAGAGCGGAGGCAGAAGAGAGAGAGAGAGAGAGAGAGAGAGAGAGAGAGAGAGAGAAAGAGAGAGAGAGAGAGAGAGAGAGAGAAGAAATGACGAGATGAAAGGAGATACGATACAGGTCGCTACGTTGCTATGCTACGGTCTGAAACTCGAGAAATTGTGCAAAAACTTTTTGTCCGACCGTCATGTACTCCTTTTTCTCTAAAATCACATGCTTTTATCGGCAACGGTAAGTAAAAGAATTCGCGAAACAAATTCACCGTTGATAGGTAATTCTAAGTAAGTCCTAAATATTAATTTTAACATCTCGTTGCATCACGTTCATATAGAGTTAATAATTAATTCAACCTTAAATTATTGCGATAACTTTGACGGTCAATTCAATAAGAGACTTTAATTCTTATCTTTCTTCAGATTTTGTTCGAGAAATGAATCGAAACGGACGCTAAGAGAGGCCTCGAAAATGTTTACGTTGTTTATAAACTACAATTTCTCTCGACACATGTTATAACTTCTTGTAAAGATCTGACGATGAAAAAAAACACCGCTTGTTTAAATTCTGTCTCTTCTATAAATTAATATCTTTCATAAGTCGACATCTTGGCAATGGCTGTAATATCGTACCGATATACGTAATATATCCGCTATTGAAATCGATTTCATCTCCATCACTACGTGATAAGGCTATTTCGACATTCTCTATCTTGCAATGATGAAAACCGCGGGATAAACTTTCGCAACAACGTAGGTAAATATAGCACACGCGCGGGTCAAAGAGACAAAATACATATTTTTCCAAGAACTGGCGCTCGCGCTAATGCTATAACGAAAATGCAACGGCCGAGTTTTGCGGCTGACGCGAAAACAGCCGCGGTCTCTCTTGAAAATCGCGGATGAAACAACTTTGGGGAGCGTTATTTGCATAACAACGGTCGACTTCCCAATAATTTTGTGCAGCTTACCTCGCGGAAAGAACCGCTTGCCAAAACTTGGCCGTGTTTGTTTCGGTTGCGCTTCCTACGAATTTCTTTCTTTCCTCCTTTTCTCGCGACAGTTTAAGTACACTTTGAGTTGCATGCACTTTGACAAGTATCGCGAGAACGTGGCTAAAACGAACAGATCTCTCTCTCTCTCTCTCTCTCTCTCTCTCTCTCTCTCTCTCTCTCTCTCTCTCTCTCTCTCGTATTTGACGGATTCGGAGCAACAAGTTCGCTGATGAAGAACAATGACGATACAAACCTCGGTTTATCCCTTCACGCTCGCTCCGATCTCTTCCCAAGTCTTACAGCGGTGCGTAGCCACCACCGTGATTATTCGAAAAACGGTAAAAGAGGTGCACAATTCTCCTCGCCGCTATTTTTAGACGTTCGATTCATACCGGACAACTCGTATACGCGATGCGAGATACCCGGGTATGCTGCGAAGTTGACAACGCTTCGTTAGATTCGACAGATCTGTCAACCAGAGAGCGCAATCTATTTTGGCGCGTCTTTTTATTTATCGCGGAGAAAGAGAGAGAGAGAGAGAAAGAGAGAAAGAGAGAGAGAGAGAGAGAGAGAGAGAGAGAGAGAGAGAGAGAGAGAGACGCTCCGCGCTTGCCACAAGTCGGCGCAATGACGCTAAGCGTCCGTAGTGCTGAAGAAAGCTAAAAGCAGCCGCTTAGCGCGGAGCGCGAGCTAAAACTCGCCGTCGGAATTCCCTTCTCCGCGATCCATTCATAAGCGCGGTGTCGAGCGGGCGCGAAAATAAACGTTACAAACATAGTGTCCAAGTGCGATAAACTGTCGCCGACGACGCGAGTCTAACGTTCGCACAGGCGCGCGCGCGTTATCGGCTCGAAATGACTCGAGTGCTCGATGATCGAGCTAATCGTCGTACGATCCCGACTAGGCTAGTCGGAAAAGCCGACTACTCGATTGAAATTTCTGCACTTTTTTACGCACCTTTCTGACGACTCACCGACGGTCCCGGGAACTTATCAGTAATTTCCAAGCGGTCCGCTGGCACACAGGTAACACCATGCAAAAAGAACGCAACACAAAGCGGGAATCACGTGTACGACTATGAGGCGCACGCACATCGGCAACAGCACTAACGCAACAACGCGGTGTATACCCCCCGTATACACAATACAGATTACAAAAGTGTTATGGCCGCGTTCGCGACGTTCATGAATGAAACTGAACGCACTACTAACTTCGTGCCGTAATTTCGGCCATCGGCCGATAGCTTGCGAACGGTCCCTACGTGGGGCGTCACGTGACTTGCCGGCGCTTCTCGAAGTTCTTCGACGACTCGACAGGTGGCCATAGGAATTCTAGGGAATCACCATCAGTTTTTGCGCTCCAAATTATGCTCCTTATAAAGTTTTTAATACCTACTCATTTTTATTGCATAAGATGAAGAAAATTTTAGCATCTAGCAGTTTAGCAGAGAGTTTAGCAGAGAGAGAGAGAGAGAGAGAGAGAGAGAGAGAGAGAGAGAGAGCTCTAGAATCTAAGTATCCACCAATCAGAAAGCAACTTTTCCTCCATGCGTTGGCTGGCTATATAAGAAAAGGCGGGCTGTGATAGACAGCAGGCAACATGACAACCTGTGTAAATACACGTTCCGATTCTGCTCACAGTTTTTAAGATTCTGTCAATGTTCTCGTATAGTTATTAATATTGATTTAATATATATTAAGAGAATTTTGTTTCAATCGATTTATCGTACGACTTTGAGATGGAAACTTCAGAAAATACGGGAGCTTTTCGCCCTGCTAGAATGTATAGAAACTGGAATCCAAACCGAGAAGCTACTGCTCCAGAGTAAGAGCTAAATTTTTTAGCTTTTTGGATAATCATCAATGTTTTCCTCTAATTTTTTGATATTTTAGGGACAATGCGTTGGGAAGATTGCTTGAGATCAAGGAAAACATTAGAGCTGATGAATTATATGATTTTCATAAAACTACTGATCGGAAAGAAAGGATAGGTTTTCTGCTTAATATGCATGCGGTAAGAAATGTGGAAAGGGTGAAAACGTTAATCTTTTGTTTTATCAATATAAAATATTGATTGTATTATTGTCACGCAGACAGAGATGAAAGATGATAAGCAGGTGCTGAGTGGTGTAGATTATTATTTCATAGAAGAAGATGCCACAAGATTCAAGGTATCCTTGCCTTATTCTCCATATTTCTATATTTTATGCCGTCAAGGTACATTTGTGGAAGTATCAACATTTTTATCTAAGAAGTACATCGGAATTTTGACAAAGATTGAAACTGTTTATAAAGAAGATCTTGATTTGGTAAGTTATACCTGATTAATGTATATTCTGCTATTGAGATTAATATCTTTGTAAAAATTTGTATTTAATCATTATTTATTTCCCTAAAAAATATGATTGTATATATTTTTTATTTCATTTCTTTTTCTTATTTTAGCCCAATCATTTGATTGGTTTGAAACAAAAGTATCTAAAACTTTATTTTGCTAATATTGTTGATTTAACAAAAGTTAAGCGTGATATCATGCGTGCTGTTAAAATTAACAGAGTACGGGAGAAAAGTAATACTCATTATACAAATATGTTAGCAACTACATTACAGTCTACTGAACAAGGTAATAGTAGGCAAAATTTAGATCGCATGGACAATGTTCTTGATATTAGGTAACTATATATTCTTTTTTGTTTTTGTTCTTTTACTTGTATATGTGATTATATTTTCTCAACTTTTGTTAACTTATGATTAAATATGATTGTTTACAGGGAACATGATGTACCTCATCATGTTCGAGTATCTATAGATGCTAATATTTTTTGTGGAACTTGGTATTCTGTAAAAACCAATGGAAGTGATCCACCTATAATCACACGAAAAGAAGATATTATTGAACCACCTGAACCTATTGTGTTAGCATATGATATTGAAACTACAAAATTACCATTAAAATTTCCAGATGCCAATATTGATCAAATTATGATGATATCATATATGATAGATGGACAGGTAATACTCAAACTTATATGTTGAAAAAACAATCAATATTTGTTTGTTCAAATTTCAGTCAAAAAAGTCACATTTGGTTTATCTTCTTAAATATAAAATTAACGTTCATTTATTGCTTTCTTAGGGATATTTAATAACAAATAGGGAACTGATTTCATCAGACATACGAAATTTCGAGTATACACCAAAACCAGAATTCGAAGGTCCTTTCATGATATTCAATGAACCTAACGAGAAAGCAACAATAACGAGATTTTTCGATCATATCAACGAAACAAAACCGCATATATTTGTAACGTATAACGGCGATTTCTTCGACTGGCCGTTTGTTGAAGCCAGAGCAACCATACACGACATAAGTATGAAAGAAAGAATTGGTTTCTCAAAAAATCGCGATGGTATCTATGTTAGTAGAGCTGCTATGCATATGGATTGTTTATGGTAAGTAGTCTTGTAAAATATATTATTGTAAATCCTTTTCCTACACAAGAAATTTCCTGTTTCCAGTTGGGTAAGACGCGACTCCTATCTCCCGGTAGGATCTCAAAATTTAAAAGCTGTCGCTAAAGCTAAGTTGAGGTATGATCCGGTAGAACTCGACCCGGAAGATATGTGCAGATTAGCATCAGAGGAACCAGAAGTGCTTGCGAACTATTCCGTCTCCGATGCTGTAGCAACGTTTTATCTTTACCAGAAGTACATTCATCCCTTTATATTCGCCTTATGTACTATTATCCCTATGGAACCGGACGAAGTAAAAAAATACACATATTAATTATATATATATATACACACACACACATTTGCTTTTGACAATAAGATAATATTTTTTGCTTTTTTTTATTATTTCTAGGTACTGAGGAAAGGGTCTGGTACGCTATGCGAATCACTTCTAATGGTACAGGCTTTTAAAGCTAACATTATATTTCCAAACAAGCAGGAAACCGAACTGAATAAATTGACCAAAGATGGTCATTTATTGGATCAAGAAACGTATGTTGGTGGGCATGTGGAAGCCTTGGAATCTGGTGTGTTTAGAGCTGATATCCCTTGCCGTTTCAAGATTGTGCCGAGTGCGGTGGACGAATTGATCAACGGTGTTGAAAATACCTTGAAACATACAATACAGGAAGAGGAGAAAGTACCGATTGAAATGGTGACGAATTTTGACGAAATAGCGAACGAAGTTAGAGGGAAATTAAAAGAGCTCAGAGATCAACCTCTGAGGATAGAAAATCCTGTCATTTATCATCTGGACGTAGGCGCTATGTATCCGAATATTATCCTGACTAATAGATTACAACCTTCCGCGATCGTGAACGAGATGGATTGCGCGGTATGCGATTATAACAAACCTGACGCTCTTTGTCAAAGAAAGATGCAATGGATGTGGAGAGGCGAATATTGTGAGTTCGAATACAAGTTTCTGGATTTTTATCTTCTAAATTTTCGCATTTGTTTTCGATTTAAGTTGTACGATTAACAAATTTCAGTGGCTGCGAATTTGGGTGAGTATCAAAGAATAAAGCAGCAGTTGGAGACTGAAAGATTTCCACCGCAGTTCCCTGGTGGCTCTAAAAGGGCATTTCATCAGTTGACTGCAAAAGAGCAAGCCACATTTGAAAAGACCAGGCTCACCGAGTATTGCAAGAAGGCTTATAAAAAGGTCAAAATTACGAGAACGGAGGAGAGGACGCAAACAATCTGCCAGAAAGAGAATTCGTTTTACGTAGACACCGTGAGAGCGTTCAGAGATAGAAGATACGAGTATAAAGCGTTAACTAAAGTTGCTAAACGGCAAGTAGCAGCGGCTGTGACGGAAGGAGACGCTGCAGAAATAAAATCTGCCAAGAATAAAGAAGTCCTGTATGACTCTCTTCAACTCGCTCATAAATGTATTCTCAATTCTTTTTATGGTTACGTTATGAGAAAAGGGTAAGTTACAGCGAAATATATCGAGTGATGTCATGATACGACAAGTAACATTCTATTACAGAGCCAGATGGCATAGCATGGAAATGGGCGGCATTGTGTGTTATACAGGTGCCCACATTATTATGCGGGCTAGAGAAATAATCGAGAAAATTGGTCGGCCATTGGAACTGGATACCGACGGTATATGGTGCATATTGCCTGCATCTTTCCCAGACTCAATTGTAGTTCACACTACTCACGAGAAGAAATCGAAATTTACGATCTCTTATCCGAATGCCGTTCTCAATTTCATGGTGAAGGTATGTGTGATGGAACAAACAGGACCGCATTCCGCTTTTCCTCTGATCTGACTGATCTCCTTTTGACTTCTTCTTCTCGCAGGATCAATTTACCAACGACGTATACCACGATCTCGTAGATAAGGACAACTTAACGTACGAGATACGGAATGAAAACTCGATATTTTTCGAAGTCGATGGTCCGTATTTGGCGATGGTGTTGCCCGCTGCCAAGGAAGAAGGGAAGAAGCTGAAGAAACGATACGCCGTTTTCAACTTCGATGGTTCGCTGGCCGAGCTGAAGGGGTTTGAAGTGAAAAGGAGAGGTGAATTGCAACTCATCAAAATCTTTCAGGCCTCCGTGTTTGAGTCTTTCCTGAAGGGCAACACACTGGAGGAATGTTACGCATCAGTCGCGAAGGATGCAGATTATTGGCTTGATTTATTGTACAGCAAGTGCGCGAATATGCCTGACTCTGAATTGTTTGAGCTGATATCTGAAAATAAATCGATGTCACGCAAGCTGGAGGACTATGGCGCTCAGAAGTCCACGTCGATTTCTACCGCTAAGAGACTAGCCGAATTCTTAGGCGACGAAATGGTCAAGGACGCGGGCTTGGCTTGCAGATACATCATAGCGAATAAGCCGCAAAGCGCACCGGTCACCGAACGTGCGATACCGTTGGCCATCTTTCAGTCAGAACCAGCTGTGCGAAGACATTATCTGAAGAAATGGTTGAAGGATCCTACTTTATACACCGACGACATCAGGGATATTTTAGATTGGAATTACTACATTGAGAGACTCGGCAATACTATCCAGAAGATAATCACTATACCGGCAGCGATGCAAGGTTTAGCCAATCCGGTTCCGCGAGTGCAGTATCCACCTTGGTTGCACAAGAAAGTAATGGAGAGAGGTGCGTCCCATCGTCAGAAGAAGATCACCGACATCTTTACCAGAACAATCAAAAAGACGACTTCTGACAGCGTCGACGAGGGGTCAAGTTCCAAAGAAACCCGCGATATCGAGGATTCTGCGGGACCGTCGTGTGGCTCCAAGAAGCCATCGACCGTGCCGATCGTCAACAAAAGAAAAAGGCGGCCATCCGAAGAAGAAAATGAAGCGATTAAGAGTAGAAGTTGGAAAGAGGCTTTGGGATCACCTCCTCCCAGGGGGAAGACCAAAGAAGAGAGGATGAAATGGTTGGAGTTTCACAAGAAGAAGTGGGCCTTCCAGGCTAAACAAAGGCATCAGCATCGACAGAAAAGAAACAGAATGATGTCTGACGAGAGCGACGGGGGTGTCTGGGGAGTTATACGGAATGCCAATACGTCTACCATGGACGGCTTCTTGAGGCGCGCTCAACGAAAGCTGCTGGAGACTCCTTGGCAGATCATTCAGTTATCGGAAACTGGCGAGCCGGGTATGTTCCGTTTGTGGATATTAGTCGAGGCGCAGTTGCATCAAGTGCGTCTCGTGGTGCCGCGTGAATTTTACGTGAATACCCGCAAAGCGAGGCCTGATCCGGGACCTAACGAGCTCTGGAGGAAGAGCTTTAAGTCTTTACCACGTTCCCGTCCCGTGTACAACCTGTATCGATATTCGCTGCCGGAGTCTCTCTTCCAAGAGCACAGCCGGGAACTCCTCGAGGACCTGAGCAAACCTGAGATTGAAGGCATTTACGAGACGCAAATGTCGCTAGAATTTCGAGCCATATTGCAGCTGGGATGCGTGTGCATGGTTGACCTACGCGCCGCGCGCAAAATGGCAGACGGTGCCGACACCTTCTTGTTGGACCAGCTGGAATTCAAGAGCATCGCCTTTCAGCCGTACCTCAAGCACACAGAATCGGTCAGCTATATATTCCTTTATCATCACTGGAGCTCCAACCGTCAAAGAGCACTGTGGAGCTTATTCCTAAGCGCCAGCAAGAGAGCCTATGTCGTCGTCTTAGACTCTGTTGCTTCTAATCAGATGCCGAACTTGAATACCTTGTACACTCAAGAACGCAACGCAATGTTGGCGCAGGAAGACGAGAGCAAGATAAGCAAACTGCCCAAAACCATGCAGTTCGTGGTACAGGGTGAAACGAATTTCCAGCAAGTATGCCGCACATTACAGGCGGCTCTGACGGCGTACAAGAACGAAGGTCACGGAGCTACGATCATCATTAATCAGACCGCTATGGACAAGGTGATGCTGACTGCGGAAATGCCGCTGCTCAACGATTTTCCCATCGTGAGCACGCACGTGCAGGATGTCGAGAATCTGTATAACATGCTGGAGTGGCAGAAGATCGGCGCGAAAATGATGGTCAGGCACTATTTGAAGAGTCAGCAAATCATCGAGTTGATGGCGGAACAGTGTCGCTTCTTTCACGCGCCCATTGGCAACATACCCGCCGATCCTACCCTCTTCGGCGCGGACCTGTTCTACGCCAGGCACTTGCACAGGAACAATTTTGTCTTGTGGTGTTCGCCGACGGAGAAACCGGACTTGGGCGGCAGTGAGAACGACGACAACAGATTGCTGACGGATTTCGAAGAGAGCTCCAGTTGCGCCGCGAATAATCCCGGCACGTATTCCAGCGTGTGCGTTCAGCTGGATGTGGAGAGCTTGGCGGTCAACGCGTTGCTGCAGTATCATCACATTCACGACATAGACGGAACTAGCACATTCGTGGCCTTCCATAATCAGCAACGTCCTTCCGTTCAGGTCAGTCAATGTGCATTTCTTCACTTCAATCGAATCTGAAAAATCAAATCTGCGATTCTGCGATTTCTGCGATTCTAGTGCTAGTAGTATAAAGAATTTGAATTTTCAACAGGACATAGTGACAGGTGATGCCGCGACGATTATTCCCAGCTACGACGAAATTACTTTATGCAATCCGGCGTTTAAGACATTGCGAAGTATGGTGAATGCGTGGTTACTCGAAGTATCCGTCTATAAGAACGTATTTGCCGATTATCAATTGATTCACTTTTATCGGTAAGTTTTTATAAACATGTATGTAAATCTATATATTGGAAAGAGAGGGTTAATGTTAATTTTTTTCAATTTTAACATAGCATATGTAATATTTTAAAATGTCTACAAAATCTAAGACTATGTTAAAAGCTGAAAGAATGGATATTGACTACTATTTCTTCCCAAGACACAGAAATCTAGATAATCATATGATTCTAGATGGCTGAGATCTTCGAATGCTTTGCTTTACGATCCTGCTCTACGTCGTACGCTACACACGTACATGAAGAAATTGTATATACAATTGATAGCGGAGTTTAAGACATTAGGTTGCATCGTGGTTTTTGCGAACTTCAATAAGATCATCATGTGTACGCGAAAGAGATCGGTGACCGACGCTTTAAGTTACATGGAATTTGTTGTTCAAACAATACGAAACAAGGAATTGTTCCACAGTATTGAAATTACATTCGACCAATGTTGGGAATATTTAGTATGGCTTGACTTGGTATGTTCTGATTTTTTATTTATATACGTAAAATAATTCTAATACGTTAGTTTTAACATTAAACAAATAAGGTTTATTTGAATTAATTTCTATTTGTTTCGTACTATATTTGCCAGGAAAGAGTATATTATTCTTAATAATTATTATGATAAATTTAGTTGTCTAACTTATTTTACAGCATAATCACGCTGGTATTAAAGGATTAATAGCGAAAGAAAATGACGCTAACAATAGTACAGAGGAAAGCGGAAATAATACCACTGAAAATGATAAGGATGACACGGTAAATATAAACACACATGTTTCAGTATTTCTAAAAGCTAGATCGGCGATCTAGCTAGATCTTGTTCAATATATCCTCGATATTATTATATTCTCGAATTTATTTATTCATGGTTAAATTATTTCTGTACAGCCTGAAATAGTGATGAACTGGAGTTTGATGGAGTGTCTACCGAAGGGAGCAGGATGTCAAGCGAGTTTCAATGCCGTAGTTGCGGGATATATAAATGCAGTATATCAGTATATGGTCGAAAATGAAGTTAATAAAACTACAAGACCGAGAAGAAGACAGAGCCAAAGCCAGTCTTTCACAATGCCGCTTGGTTTAGGAGCATTGGAAAATACAGCAGAGTTTGCGAAGAAGTTGATTTCCGGAGAAATGTCACAAAAATTATTCAAGTATTATTTTTATCTTTTATATATAATTAATCATGTGAGATCTCTTTAATAACAAATCGACAGTTAACGTCTAAATCTGCTATTATTACTTTCAGAATAACACAAAAAATATATCGTAATTTACCGGAGAAAGTATTGTCTCTCGAAGAATATCCGAATTTAGATATGGGTGGGAAAGAGAGTATAAAGATTAATCCCGCCCTTGAATTAATCAAAGCAATATGCAAGGTAATAATATTATTATTATACATTTGTTTATTAATTAATGCTCAAAATCACTATCAAACTATCGATGAATGTTGTCTATTTCTAAAAATTTCAGGTTTTATCTTTAGATAAAGAAGTTGAAAACGAGGTTTATAACTTGAAATCAAATCTCTTACGATTGATCGGAGTCGGCAGTCATAGCGACAGCGTCGATTGGAAAGAGCCATGTATCTCTCTTATTTTATCGGAAGTTATATGCAAGGCGTGTAACCACACGAGAGATATTGATCTTTGTAAAGATCAACATTATACAATTGAAAATAACAAGTACGTTACATATTTACAATTAATAAAACAACAATATGACAACGCATCTTTTGCATTATCTTTTGCATTTTTGCAGGCATATATGGAAATGTCCTATTTGTGAGACTTCTTATGACAATGCGGAAATAGAATTTTTATTGATCGACAGACTGAATCGCAAGAGTATGGGTTATGTGCTGCAAGATTTACAATGTCAAAAGTGTAAAGGGATCAAGCGTGAGAACATGAGTATGCAGTGCTCTTGCTCCGGTTTATATGGAAATTTAATCCCACAAGACGAAATAACAACATTTGTAAATGTATGTAAATCTATAGCAAGCAAATGTAAAATGAATATTCTGGCAGAGATAGTAGAAAACACAAAACTCTTTACCAATTAGTAAACGAGTCCAAGTAGTTTTATACTATTAATTAAACATAGAGAGATTATATTGTCAAGCTAGATGTTTCAAATTTGATATTGGATTTGTTCTGGATATTTGTATAATAAAAAGAGATTGGAATCATTTATATTTCTAATGGTATATGTATTTTTGTAATTAATTACTTAATGTTTAATGATTCAATCATCAGTTTATACATGAATGTTCTATGATACATATGGATACATTTACTGCTTATCAACACCAGCATCCACAGGTGGATCTAAAACACAAAATACAACATATAAAAATCAACTATATGTACATATGCTAATATAAAATTTATACAAAAAAGGATATACAATTATATAATTCTTATAGTAATTTTGAATAGGGGAAATAATCTAATAAACACATAATTTCCATACCTACAAATTGAAATTGAGGAAATTTCGTCATGTCTACTCCCTTATCACCACCATATATTATTTGAAGTTTCTCTAGTTCTGATTCTCGCTCTTTTAGGATTTCTGGACTAGCATCAACTAATTTGCCACCTCTTAAATTAAACAGAATTCTTATGGTATCAAATTTATAATTTTATATTCCAATTAATCTCATTTTGGATGCAAAAAAAAAGTAAAAGAAACAGGTACAATCATTAAATATCTAAAATAATAAATCTAACTTGATTCTATAACAAAATATATTCTTATATATGGTCTATTGTATATAATATAATACATATGAGAAACTGTTTTGATATAATCTTAAACAAAAATAAAGAATTGATGGAAATATAAGGTATTAAATTATTAAGAGCGATACCTATAAAATTGTATTTTAAAAGCAGGATTTGACAGATACAAATGACAGATATGCTTAGTAAATGTAAATAATTATAAAATAAATTATTATTGAAGCATATACTTACGCGCTTTTCGATTTATACTCCCGAATTTTGTCGAGAAAGAGCTGTTGTATAGGATCAGTTGCTTTTTGTAAGGCAGGGATGTTAGTACCAAAGCTACGTTTTACAACTTTCGGTACATTAACGGCCAAACGTAATTTCAACATGATTGCCTGAATGAGATTATATCACAGATAATTCTGGAAACGAAGTTTTAAGTTTCACACAGTAACTCTCAATGACTGACCATATAATAAGTTCCATACAAATTCTCATCTTAATAGATGTTTGATTATACATCATATTTTTACATCATATCTTATTCTATGTTAGATATTGAGTTTTATAAAAAAAAGTGGCGACAGTTAATTAATCGCTTATTAAATTATTGCTTATTGAATTTCTCTTACGTAATAAATGTAATAACATTTGCTGGTTAGGTTTTCGATTGAGTTAGAATCAAATATAGAAATTAAAAACGTACTGCCTTGTAAAATAACTGATTGTAACAATAATGTTATGATGATATTATATCACACATATATCGACAACATTTAACATAATATACTAACTTGTTTTTAACACTTGCACTATGTATAACCTCAAGTGTCTTCCCAATCACTGAAGACGTATCTGCAGAACGATCAGTAAAGTTCTCAAATGTCCTGAATTCGTCACGCATGCGTTTCGAATACTCTCGTCTCAAGAATGCTTTTATCTTAGTTTGTAATTTTAAGTTCTCAAATTTTAGTTAAGTTTCAAAAATCAGAAATTTTCAATTCTAATTTTGTGATTTAGATATTAAAAATTATAATTGATAATAACCATCGATGATATTAATAAAGACCATTAAGGCCGGTAATCAAGTCTTATATTTAAAGCTATCTTAAGTTCAGATATCCCGTAGCCAATAAAAATATTTGTACAGCATCTGAAGATGAACTTAAGATGACCCTGAATAATATAAGATCCGACTATGAATACCGGCCTAAGTTGGCGACACTGTGGATTCACAGCAACGGCAAAATGTCGCGAGCTAGATTTCCGGTGGCGTTCGGTTCCCGTTTGTCGTTTGATACCGTGCCGTAGTGTCACCTGCCCGAAAAGAGTTAGGTCCACGCGAGAAATTTCATCAAATATCAATATGACAGACGACGTAGTGGTGTTGGACGATCCCGTCCACACAAAGGAGGAAATAGCGCACTTCCACGCACCGGCGATTCAGCACAATCCTGACGGCTGGGGTCCGTGTGAGCTGCCAGATCAGTTTAAGGACATTCCATATCAGCCATTTTCGAAAGGCGATAGATTAGGCAAGGTAAGCATACGAGACTTACCGTTTTTATTTTATATTGTTACAAATGTGCTCAATAATATATTCTTGTTTGTTTCTCGTAGATCTCCGATTGGACTACACCGGCCTTCCCGGACAAAAAGTTCCCAAGTACATGTCTCCTTATTTTAATCGTTTGTATATGCATAACCTCTGCTTTGAACTCTGAAAATCGATTGGGAGCCTCGTTGGCATTCTCATGTTGCATATGTTCGATCGATTGACAGATCGTTTGTACAGTCGAATTTAAATTTTTATAAGAAGGATTGGTGGATTGATATGTGTTTTTAATGTTTTATACTGTACCAAATTTTGACTTACATAAAATCATGAAAGGATAAGTAATGATATAATTTTTTAAGATAGACACAGGCTGCGTTCAGAACAAAATGATCAGTAAGCGCTTAATGATTATTGTCTGTGATTGGAGTATTCTTTTAGATTCTTCATAGACCTAGAAGTATTTACCGATCAGGAGCGAGAATCACTAAGCGCTCATTGATCACTTTGTTCTGCTGAACGCAGCCATTAAGAACTATTACTTATAAATTGCCATAAATGAGTCAGGAAAAAAACTTTTATGGTTGTAGATGTAATATGTTAACTTAAGCCAAAGAAGTTATTAGTATGTCTTTAGCTTTTAACAATTTAAAAAATAGAAATGATAATCTGAATGATAGCCATATGTAGAAACAAGCAAATTTTAAGCTAGTATAATAAAGTTTCAACTGGTTAAAGCCCTGGTTACTTCATATGTAAAAATCAATAATGATAATTTTATCTTTTTATATTAATAGTAGTTTTAATATTATTTTATTTTTTATATCAATAGTTTTAATATCAATAATGTCATCAATAATGTTTGTAATATTAGTCTATATTAATAGTTTTTAAATTTATTTTATATATCTTATTAAATATTCCAGATGTCATCTATGGATATCATATGATGGAATATATTTTTAATGGAGTTTCATGATCAAATTATATGTTAGTTTCATGATAAATTATATGATATACATCAGTATGATAAAAATAATTTATTAGATAAAAAATTCAGCATGAATTACATATAAGGAGATAAAAGAATTTTTTTGCATATATAGAAAATTATGCATGACGATGCTAAATATTAAAAATATTTTTTCAGACAAATATACATCGCAATTTGGTTGTGGCAGCCAATATGCGTATTATCACGATGAAGATGAAACAAGTTTCCACTTGGTGGACACTACCCGTGTGCAGAAGCCACCATACCAGCGGGGCCGTTTCCGTCACAACCAACGCAATTTGCGCGGTCGTGGTGGCCAACGCGGTGCGTTGAGTCAGATGCAGCAATTGGGAAAGCTGAAGCTGCGTGAACGCGAACGCAAGGGGCAGACGAAACGTTGGGGTCGGCAGCAGGGTCTGCGCAATCACAAAAATCAGCCACCCATCAAGATACGAGACGCTTCCGTGACGGTCCGGCCAGACTGGATGACCATCGAAGAGATGGACTTCCCACGTTTGGCAAAGCTCTCATTGCCTGGCGTAAAGGATGGCGAGGATATATTATGCTGCGGCTCGCTCGAGTATTATGACAAAACATATGATCGCGTGAATGTGAAGAGCGAGAAGCCGCTTCAACGGATCGACCGGATCTTCCATACAGTGACCACCACCGACGATCCTATTGTCCGCAAGCTATCCAAGACCGAGGGCAACGTTTACGCCACTGATGCAATATTAGCTACAATTATGTGTTGTACACGCAGTAATTATTCATGGGACATCGTCATCGAGAAGATTGGCGACAAGCTGTTCTTTGACAAGCGCGACAACACCGAGTTCGATTTGCTGACCGTGAACGAAACCAGTGTGGAGCCGCCGCAGGACGATAGCAACTCGTTAAACTCGCCGCGTAACTTAGCCCTTGAAGCGACTTTCATCAATCACAACTTCTCGCAACAGGTGCTGAAGTCGAATGAGCCGCGTTACAAGTTCGAGGAGGGCAACCCGTTCATCTCTGAGGAGGAGGAGAGCGACGTGGCGAGCGTAGCGTACCGTTATCGCAAGTGGGATCTGAACAACGGCATAGTGCTCGTCGCACGTTGCGAACACGACGCCGTGATGCAGGGCCCTAATAACGAGAACCAGTTCTTGACGATCAAGGCGTTGAATGAGTGGGACTCGAAGCTGGCCAACGGAGTCGAATGGCGTCAGAAGTTGGACACGCAGCGGGGTGCGGTCCTGGCTAACGAGTTGCGCAACAACGCGTGCAAGCTCGCCAAATGGACCGTGCAGGCGTTATTGGCCGGTTCGGATCAGCTCAAGTTCGGTTACGTATCGCGCGCTATAGTACGCGACTCCAGCAAACATGTGATCCTCGGGACTCAGCAGTACAAACCGAACGAATTCGCCACGCAGATCAATCTGAACATGGACAACGCATGGGGAATTCTCAGATGTATCATCGACATCTGCATGAAGCAGAAGGACGGCAAGTACTTGATTATGAAGGACCCGAACAAGCCTATGATCCGGTTGTACGATATTCCTGATAATACGTTCGAAAGCGAAGGCGAGGAGGACGAGGACGATGATGAACCTGTTAACGACGCGTTTCAGAGTTAATAGCGACAACAGTAATTGTACTTTCGTTACTAGTCGGTAATCGCGTTCAATCAACCGACGCTTTTACACGAATTATTGTAAAAGGCCCATAAGAATTATTGGCGGGGGAAATAAATGAAAAAGTTTGGATATGATACTTGATTCTGCAATACTTTATTATTTCTTGATAAGAACGATTAGTATGTTGAAAAGTTTTATTTTTGTCACATACTTTCCACTATTATATATTTAACACGAAACATTACTGTTATTACCTTTTTATCAGTTAATTTTTAGCAGACTCCAAACCGGAAGAAGTTTGTGCTTCGACAACAGCAGTCAACTCCTCGATGACATATTTTAGTTTGCATATAGCAGCATTCATCAACGAGTCGTCAATGTCGTAATGAAGAACGATTCTGACCAATGTTTCGGTCAAAGCGAGGCAGAGGATTATAATCCTGTCATCCTTATCGGCTTGTTCCACTTGTTGGAGCCTTTTCATGAACTGTACCGCGGAGATATGCTCGGAGTTCATGTTTATGAATATTATGTTGGTTTTTACGGCCTTCGTGTCTACGGTGAATATCTTGGAATTCATCTTATTGATTGCCAATGCAATCGTCAGTGCTCTCCGATGATCCTCTTCTAATTGCGGCACCGTTTCTTCCAGGGCGACGAGCCCAGCCGCAGCGATTATACCGATCTGTCGCATCCCGCCGCCCAAAACCTTCCGCTTCCTTTTCGCGTCGGCGATGAAGCTCTTGCTTCCGCAAAGCACGGAGCCGATCGGTGCGCCTAATCCCTTGCTCAGACAAAAGGTAACCGAGTCGAACGGAGCCGCTAGATCCTTCGCCGAGATCTTCGAAGCAATGGAAGCGTTCCATAATCGCGCCCCATCCAAATGCATCCTAAGATTGTGCTTCCTCGCCATCACAGCCAACTCCTCGATCCACAATTGAGGTACTATTATCCCATTAATCGTGTTCTCTACGACCACCAGTTTCGAAATCGGTTCGTGCAATTTGTCGCTGCGAATCACGCTCTTTAATTTCTTCAGGTCGAACGTGCCGTCATCATGGTTCGGCAGGACATAGAGACTCGCACCGGCTATTTGTGCGGCACCTCCTTGCTCGTGTTGAAATACATGCGACTTATCGCCGCAGTAGATCTCGCTACCGCGTACGTCACAGTGATTCATAACTGAAAAAAGTGATAGAGATAAGCAAATACTTTATGCTCGAGATAGATGAAATGTCAAGTAATTTACATTTTCTAAATTTGAAAGCTTTTTTTATTTAAAAGAAGTAAAGACGTGTAACAATTGGATTGAAGCATTTACTAGCTATCAGATTTCCCATCGTACCGCTACTGACAAAGAGCGCATCTTCTTTCCCGAGTAATTCCGCGGCCTTGTTTTGCAATTCTGGAAAATCATAAAGAGATTGAGCTTTGATGAAAAATTCTTTTGTTTAAATACTTTACACACACACACACACACACACACACACACACACGTACAATTAAGAGAAATTAGAATTGTAATATTAATTTGTCGTGTGGAGTATACTCGTTTTCGACGTAACAGTTTATAATTAGTATGTTAAAAATATTTTGTCATGACTTTACTTTTCACTGTAGGATCTTCTTCATAGACATCGTCACCTACTTCTGCTTCAAACATGGCTTGTCTCATTGCTTTGGTTGGTTTTGTGATCGTGTCGCTTCGTAGATCAACTATAATGGCCTAGCAATCATACATTTAACTTGTTTCAAGCAACGTGATAAAACGTCAAGTTAGACTTTTGAGTGGAACCACATTTCTTGTTGATTTGTTACTAACAATTTTATACACACATGTATATACAAAATAATATAAAACAAACAATTATACACACGTCATAGTCTCGTATAAATATTGAAAATTAAAGTCTGTTACAGAAATAATCATGCGTGTAATCTCAAGAACATCAAGATGATATCATGCGATTGTAAAAGCTTACATCATTATTTATTTACATTCGCTACAACTGATAATGATTGGACATATATGTAAATGAAAAAAATTCTTCATTTTTTCTACTTACATTTGTCTTCTTTGCGTAATCATGAATGCCTTCGTTGATACCGCCGTACGTGGACATGTTGCCGCTGCGACTGATAAGTCGTTAGGTAGGTCGTTTCAAATAACCCAGACAGCACCGGACATTCAATGAATGACGTTTCACGTTCAATTTATGTCAAATCAAATCTATATTAAATGTATCTATGTTAAATCAAATTAAAACAGAATAAATAGAAAATGACTAATCTTCTGAAAATAAATTCATAAACATACATATGCAGATATATATGTATAATATATTTAAATATTATATGATTACTCACATAGCACCGCAATATTGCAGGAATATTACAGAAATGTTGCAGGAATATTACTAAAATATTGCATAAATATTTAATGTCCTAGGCAGAAATCTCGCAAAAATATCTCAAGGGTGGTCTACAATGGCAGTAAGCAGTAAGAAGTAAGCGTAAGCGGTAAGAAATAAACCGACAATCACAGTCGATTATGACAAAAATAATCAACTGTGGTTGGTCCATTTCTTACTGTTCACGCTTTCTTCTTATTGCTTACGGCCATTGTAGACCACGCTTTAGAAACACTGCGTTAAATAAAAAAATGTTTCAGACAAAAGTTGTTGTTGACTTGAAGGGGGACATAAGACAGCGATAGCATTTGTTAATAGATGGTGCCACTTTCAAGATATTCACTGACCATCAATTTTTATAAATGAAAATCCCAACTTTTTATTATATCTTCTTTTTCTACCAATTAATTTCAACAACTTTTGTCTGAAACATTTTTTATTGAGTTGGCAACTAAGTGATTGCGGATTTTGTCGACAGATGGATTTTACACTTTCTTTTGTTTCGTTAACGTGTTCAAAGTACCTAACCTATATTTTTTTCTTATTGTTTGGACTTCTATCTTTCATTTAGTACAAAAATTATATCGATCAGTTCTTTAGTTTTGTTTTTATCCCAATTTAAAAATGGAAGAGCAAGACGTGCACTTCAGACATATTTTATTGTATTATTTCCGAAAAGGCAAGAACGCATCGCAAGCACACAAGAAGTTATGTGCCGTATATGGGAATGAAGCCTTGAAAGAAAGGCAGTGTCAAAATTGGTTTACCAGATTTCGTTCTGATGATTTTTCATTGAAAAATGCTCAACGATCTGGCCGTCCAGTTGAAGTCGATGAGACCCATATCAAGGCCATTATCGATCCAGATCGTCATAGCACAACACGTGATATTGCAGAGCTCAATGTATCGCATACATGCATTGAAAAAAATTTAAAAAAGCAAATTAAAAATTTTGAATTTTCATTCTTATTTAAAATCCGCAATCACTTAGTTGCCAACCCAATATTTGCTTAATATTTTTTGAGATATTTAAGGAAAACTTGGTAACTTTTCCAACATTTATTTTACGATATCTCGCTAACTATTCGTCGAAAAAAAAAATAGTATTAGACTTTTTTACTTTATTTAATATCAAGAATATATTAATAGTGCCCTAACTTTTGTTAATTTAATAATTTTGAAATTTCCAAAGGTCGATAAGTTAACAAAAGTTAGGGCACTATTATAATATATTCTTGATAGTAAGTAAAGTAAAAAAGTCTAATACTATTTTTTCTTTCGACGAATAGTTAGCGAGATATCGTAAGTTAAATGTTGAAAAAGTTACCAAGTTTTCCTTAAATATCTAAAAAAATATCAACCAAATAAAAAAACGTTTCAGACAAAAATTGTTCAAATTAATTGATAGAAAAAGAAAATATAATAAAAAATTCGGATTTCCATTTATGAAAATTGATTGTCAGTGAATATCTCAAAAGTGGCGCCATTTATAAACAAAATGCTATCGCTTTCTTGTCCTCCTTCAAGCCAAACAACTTTTGTCTGAAACATTTTTTGATTTAACGCAGTGTTTCTGAGATATTTGTGATGTGATATTAAAATGGGACACCCTGTATATAAATTGTTTCACACTGCAGTATTGCGGCGATAATCAGAAATATTACGTGGCGGTCTGTCATGCTGGAATATAGCGGCAATATTCCTGTGATATTGCAATGAGATTTATCATCGCGCAATATTGTTGTAATATTGTCATTATGTTGCCATACGATAGTCACATTGTAACATTGCAGTAATATTCCAGTGATATTGTAATCTGATATATCACTCTGTAATATTGTGATAATATTGCTGGAATATTATATAATAATCTTGTGATTTTGTAATATTGCTACGATATTATAATATTGCTCCAATATTGCTGCAATATTGCAGTGCTGTATGGGTATTTTAATGCAAAGTTCTTTAAATTTTAGTTAAGTAGAAACTAAATTCTCAAAGTCCACATACAATATATATTCTTTATATTTTATGACTTCATTATTTTTTACTTTGTTATGTGTCAGATAATTTTTCCTTATCTGCGTCAAATTGCTCAAGAGGCATATAAACGTTCGTTGTAGCCGTAATTTTATGTCCGTATGTCCGATTTACGTTCGTGGACATAAATTGGACGTAACAAGGATGTCCTTATTGGACATCGGACTTGTCCCAGCAAACACAATATTACATGTAACGTGCATATTAGTTGTAATTTCCTACTCAACAATATAACTGTTATATAACACATATGTTATATAACATCTTATTTTCGTGTTATATAACAGTTATATTGTTGAGTAGGAAATTACAATTAACATGCCCGTTACATGTAATATTGTGTTTGCTGGGGTAGGACGTCCGATGTCCGAAGTTGTGACAAACGTACGTCCTATGGACGTCTTTTGTAAAAAAAATGGACATCCGCATGTGCTGTCTGGGATTACGGCTACAACGGACGTATATGCCTCTTGAGAAATTTGACGTAGATAAGGAAAAATTATCTGACACATAACAAAGTAAAAAAGTAATGAAGTCATAAAAAAGAAAAAAGTCATAAAATATAAAGAATATATATTGCATGTGGACTTTGAGAATTTAGTTTCTACTTAACTAAAATTTAAAGAACTTTGCATTGAAATAATCATATAATATTTAAATATATTATACATATATATCTGCATATGTATGTATGTTTATAAATTCATTTTCAGAAGATTAGTCATTTTCTATTTATTCTGTTTTAATTTGATTTAACATAGATACATTTAATATAGATTTGGTTTAACCCGTTTCGGACCAGAATGACCTAAATTTTGTCTTTTTTTTCATTGCAATTATTTTTACTCATGCCGTGGATGGATCTTCTCCAGACAAAGATATCTTGTAGTTTTGGGGCATGCTCTTTCAGAATCTGAAGTCCGTTTGTCGCTATCATGTGTCATTTTTACAATATGGTGGCATTAATGCCAAAAAATTAAAAATAAATCAAAAATTATTTTCTTTTATGTCATTTTTCGATATGATCTCATTATGGAATCGTGCTGATGGTCTGGATCTGGTGGCATAATGACTTTAGCTAAAATATGGTACTATACCGATTGAGAAGTTTAACTTTTATGCTCAAGATAAGTGAAAATATTTTTTATTACTACACTTCCTGTTCTATAAAACTTTTCTTTTTTTGATTTTTACTAAATCTAAAGAGTGTAAGTTGTAAAAAATAATTGTAACATGCCAAAGGGAAAAGCCGCTAAACTTAATAGAACAGTGTGTCGCAAACTGGATGAAATGAAATTATGTTATATTTTCATTGTACCTTCACTTGCACGCAAAAGTATGAAAAAAAAGAGAATCAAACTATATCGTACTATATAATCGCATTTCCAAGAATTTTACAAAAATTAATTGATTATGGCATTTGTAGGCTATGTTACATTTTGGTTTCATGATGTTTTATTTTTTGTATCAATAGCTGCGATAGAGACATTTGAATTCGTAAAAAATTCCACATACATAATTGAATATATGGAAAAACGAAGAAAAAATGTGAAATTTTACAATTAACAATTAAACGTGAAAAATGCCGCCATTTTTTATCTTCGTTTGACTTTTTCTTAGTATGTAACGATGTATGTTCAGAATACAATTGTTCAATGCCTTGCTAGAGCGTAAAAATACGAGTAAGCGATAAATAATCTGAAAAATACGACAAAATTTAAAAATTCCTTGAAAACGTTGCCATATTGAATCCGCCATATTGAATTTCTCAATCGGAATAGCACCATATTTTAGCTAAAGTCATTATGCCACCAGATCCAGACCATCAGCACGATCCCATAATGAGATCATATCGAAAAATGACATAAAAGAAAATAATTTTTGATTTATTTTTAATTTTTTGGCATTAATGCCGCCATATTGTAAAAATGATACATGATAGCGACAAACGGACTTCAGATTCTGAAAGAGCATGCCTCAAAACTATAAGATATCTTTGTCTGGAGAAGATCCATCCACGACTTGAGTAAAAATAATTGCAATGAAAAAAAGACAAAATTTAGGTCATTCTGGTCCGAAACGGGTTAACATAAATTTTTCGTCGTCGAATGACAAGCTTTTAAATTTTATGAAAAAAGGATAAATAAATTTATATACGTATATATATTTATGTAATACTAATAAAAAAAAGAATATAGGGACTGCCCACAGCTATTCAGATTCAATCGATTTAAAAAGTATACACTGACTTTTTAATCAACATCAAGAGATTCACATCTATGACTACGTTTACACGGCTTCTAACTTCAGTCAAAGAGAAACCTGAGAGCGGCCACCGGGCGAAAGCATATGTCTGTCCTGATACGTTCTCTGAGAAAATAGACGTCAACTAATTCGATGTCTCGGTAACGATACGTGGTTTATGTCTGTGATTTGAGTCTGGTTAATGTCCGAGCTACTAAAACAAACTATAGTGAAAATGATATATATATATATATCATTTTCATATATATATATATATATCTTGCACATATATATATATATATAGCATATATATAGCATATATATAGCATATATATATATATGAGTAAGAGAAGGATAACAATTGAATCGCTTTGACTTTGAGCCAGAGCACAGACTTCTGCATAACGCATAATACAACGCATAAGAGAATCAACCAATCAGAGTTCTTCATTTCCCTCCTCAGGACAGAAATGAAGAACTCTGATTTGTTGATTCTCTTATGCGTTGTGTATTGTACGTTATGCAGAAGTCTGTGCTCTGGTCCTTCGTCTCACCACTAGTGAGCAGACACGCGACACAGACACAAGTAATGCTGGAAATTCTTAGGCACACGGTCGAGGCTTACCCCCACTACTCGATTTTCTCTGTTTTCTCACACGCTTGGCGCACTGAGCGAGATTGAGATAGCCCGTTTATGCTCGCCTTGTTGCACTCTGAGCGAAACAGCTTACTCATGATCAGTGAAAGTAGATTTCAACCTAGCCTAACGGCTTCGCGACTCATGGTGGAAGGGGAAACGCGCAACGAAAGCCGCATATACAGAGTGTTATAAAAGTCCGGGAAGAGCAGAATAACTCGAAAAATATGAGTCCTAGAAAAAGTGCGAAGTACTGGGTTTTTATGATTTTTTCCTGGCTATCTGACGGTGACCTTGGATTTGAACTTGACAACGACCTTGAAGGTCATTTCAAGGTCAGGTCAATTTTTTTAAATAGGACTCCATACTTTTAACCCCAGAAATGAAAAGAACGGAAAATTTTACGTTCGGATATGAGCTTGAACACTGCCAAATTTGACTTCTGAAGGTCACATAAAGGTCTAAGCTTGTTTTAGGCTGAAAATCACGAATATCTTTGAAAATGCACCTGCTAGGGAGCAATGTTACGCATAAGAATAAGAATGTAGAGGTCAACGAGGGAACCGAATCCGACGTCGGATTTTGCAAATTCAAGATGGCCGATTCAAGATAGCGGCCGATATTTAAGAATAACAAAAATTGGATCTCGTTTAAGGAGTTTTTGAAGTCGTTTCTGAGATCGAATCCGACGTTGGATTTTACAAATTCAAGATGACCGATCCAAAATGGCGCCCGATATTGAGGAATTACCAACAATCGGAGTGTGACCTCGTACGTAACGTAAAATCTCACTCTTCACATTATGGGGGGGGGGTAAAAGTATGTGTTTCCAGCCTAAAAAAATTAATTGACCTTGATATGACTGACACATAACCTTAAGAACAAGGTCAAGGTTGAAAACGTCATATCCCAACGTAAAATTTTTCAATCTTGACATTTTTAGATCAAAAGTATGGATTTTCAGTCCTAAAAAGTCTGGTTTGATCTTAATAATAATCTTAACTCATGACCTTGAGAATAAGGGCAAGGATGAATGTCCCTCACGGCTGAATGTCCCTCGTTGACCTCTACATTCTTATTCTTATGCGTAACATTGCTCCCTAGCAGGTGCATTTTCGAAGATATTCGCGCTTTCAGCTTAAAACAAGCTTAGACCTTTATGTGACTTTCAGAGGTCAAATTTTGCAGTGTTCAAGTATCCGAACGTAAAATTTTCCGCTCTTTTCATTTCTGGGGTCAAAAGTATGGAGTCCCATTTAAAAAAATTGACCTAACCTTGAAATGACCTTCAAGGTCATTGTCAAGGTCAAATCCAAGGTCACCGTCAGATAGCCAGGAAAAAATCATAAAAACCCAGTACTTCACAATTTTTCTAGGACTCATATTTTTCGAGTTATTCTGCTCTTCCCGGACTTTTATAACATCCTGTATGTGGCACATGTGCATACGCGGCTTTCGTTTGTATGCGTTTCCCTTTCGACCGTAGCACAGTGGGCCAGAATATTACTAAATGTGACCAAAAGTCAATATCCGCATTGATCTAAAATAAAGTTATTATTGTACTTAGAATGTTTGAAAATAGTTATAAGAGAAATGTTATGTTGATTGTATTGTTTTTGTATCAGTCTTAATAGGATGAAATTATAAAATACATTAACACTTTTTTTCATTTTCTTTACTTTATCGTTCATATATTAAACAATTATATATTATTTTTTGGACCTTTAGTTAACGAATATGATGAGCGAAGATTAAGAATGAAAAATATATAAAATTGGAGGAAATAAAAATAAATTATAATATATTACATTCTCTTTTATTGCATTATTATAAGTATATTAATCATAACTACTCATTTCCGATTTACCATTCCCCGTAATTCCACTTTCAAGAAAGAGCATACTCTTTTAAGTTATATATGCTGTTTATGATATATATTTTAAGAAAAAGTTTTTGCTACTTTTTGCTACTTTTGTTACATAACGTAAGCAAACATATGTAAACAAATCATCGCCTATATCTAAAGGTCCGTATTGACTTGTTGATTAATATCGCAGTGTAACAGTACAGGCCTTTAGATATAGGCGATGACTTGTTTACATATGTTTGCTCCTCCTGATGATATATATAACTTTTACTATATTCTGTGTAGTAGCTCAGATATGAACCAAACTATTACAGACAAACCTCGTTACCGAGCGACATCGACGTAGTTGACGTCTATTTTCTCAGGGAGCATGTCGACGTAGTTGACGTCTATTTTCTCAGTGGGCGCGTCGAATTCAAAAAAATTTCTGAACCTTCGCTGATGGCCGCTCTCAGGTTTCTTTCTGCTTCGGCTTAGTAATTACCGTAGTTAGTGCAGTCTCGAATCCGATTAGAGTATATTTTTAGATCTAAAAGAATATACCAATCGAATCAAAGAATTCACTAACTACGGTTGTTACTAATCCGGATTAATCTTGCCGTGTAAACGTAATCTATGACACGTTCGAGGAGGCTGAGTAACCTTAAAGTAGAGCTAACGCTCATTTTTACCAACCTTGATTGGCTGAAACTGGTTGTTCCCATGGGATTGACTAATCGCATTTGTCATTAATTAGAATTGACAAACGCGATTGGTCATCAGTTCCGATGAAATAACCAGCCGGTTGATAAATTAACCACAGTTGGTAAAAACGAGCATAAGTAGGATCCATAGTATCTCCTCGAATGTACCTCTAGTGTTAGTTCATGCTGAAAGCTCATTCGCCAAGCGCGAGTTACCAGCGCAGCTAGTGACAATGTGCGTAGTACGTGGTTGCATGAACAAATCTTAAAGCCAGCGTCACACGGTGCTTGTTTTCGTGCTGGATTGCGTGCTGGATGAAAATACTGCGTTTTGATTGGTGTATTTCCAGCCATCTTCGGAAATGTACCAATCAGAACGCAGTATTTTCATCCAGCAAGCAATCCAGCGCGAAAACAAACACCGTGTGCCTGCCGCTGGCTTTACATACAGGGGCTTGCGGTGGGCTCTTGGTTTCACATGAAAAGAATGTGAAAGTGAGCTGGTAACACTGGCAGTCGACAGTTGTGTCGGCGCGGCCGAGACACGTTGAACCGAGGTGAACGGGCGAACGCGAGAGGGAAAGCAAGAGTGAGTCAGGAGGAACGGCTAATTCTCGCATGAATATACACAAGGACGTGAGGAGCCGAGAAATCGAGCAAAGGGAGATCACGAAAGCCCGTGCTAAACTGCTCGATCTCGCGTCCGCGAATCTTTCACATGCACGATCGCCGGCGCAACGTCATCTCCGAAAGTGAGTCGCGAGCAGGTATTGGATCAAACGCGCTATCTCGCGAGAAGGGCGAGTCCGGCCGTCATCGCAGCCGTAGTAACGGTGGTGGTGTAGTGGTGGTAAAAGAGGAGTAGTGTAGCAGCACCGGTAGTAGTAGTAGTAGAAGAAGAAGAAGAAGAAGAAGAAGAAGAAGAAGAAGAGTGGTGGTGGTGGTGTCGTCGCCTCCACCGCGGTCACACACTCGTTGGTCGCGCATCGTGGCGACAGCTAGTAGCGGCAGCTGCCGTCCTCGTCGTGTCGTCGTCAGTCGGACTCGGTCAGACTCGGCTGCGATCGAGTCGATCGTGTCGCGTACACGAGCACGGTAACGTACGCGGGTTAACGTCGTGCGAGCTGGCGGAACGGGAACATTGTGCGCGAGATAACGAGGAAGGAGTGGGATCAGGAACGCTCGGCTCGACGGAGCGAAGGAGAGAGAGAAAGAGAGCAAGAGAGAGAGAGAGAGAGAGAGGCAGTCGCGGGTTAAAAGCGGATAAAGGCAACAGCAGCAACAGCTTCGCCGCGTCGTGTGTGCGCGCTCGCTAAAACAAAGATGGCGGACGTGGACTCGAGGGTAGACCGGTCCGATCCGGAGCTGCGTTTCTTGTCGGTCGACAGGAACAGCTTCAACGACCCGGCTACCCAGGCGGAATGGACGCAGAAGAAGCTGGTGTGGGTGCCGCACGAGAGCCAGGGCTTCGTCGCCGCCGGCATCAAGGGCGAGCGCGGCGACGAGGTCGAGGTGGAGATCGCAGAGACCGGCAAGCGCGTACTCGTCGCGAAGGACGACATACAGAAGATGAATCCGCCCAAATTCGACAAGGTCGAGGACATGGCGGAGCTCACCTGCCTCAACGAGGCGTCCGTGCTGCATAACCTCAAGGACCGCTACTACTCCGGACTAATTTACGTGAGTGCAATTTTATACGTACCTCTAAGTATCGCTCTTGTCGCGCGTCTTTATCTCCCGGTGCGCGACCGAAGTTTCGGCCGGTGTACGATGAGTTTCTCTCTCTCTCTCTCTCTCTCTCTCTCTCTCTCTCTCTCTCTCTCTCTCTCTCTCTCTCTCTCTCTCTCTCTCTCTCTTTCTCTCTGTCTCTGTCTCTATGTCTCTCTCTCTCTCTCTCTCTCTCTCTCTCTGTCTCTCTCTCTCTCTCTCTCTCTCTCTCTCTCTCTCTCTCTCTCTCTCTCTCTGTCTCTCTCTGTCTCTCTCTGTCTCTCTCTCTCTCTCTCTCTCTCTCTCTCTCTCTCTCTCTATCTATCTCTCTCTCTCTCTCTCTCTCTCTCTCTCTCTCTCCTGCCCTTTCTTTCTCTTTCTCTCCCGTCGGTTCTGGTCGGTATTTAAATCTCACTCGAGCTCCGACGTTCGTGGTCGGGCTTGTCGCTAACTCGATTTTCTCTCTCCCCGTCCGCACTGTGGATCGGAGTTGGTGGTTTCCGGGGGTTTCGCGTTACAAATATTTAAAGAGTCGCCCGACTCGTTCCAATAGGGAGGTTTAAGAGAGATTTCGAACGGAAAAAGGCGACTTTCAACGTTCACCTTTCAGAGTTCAAACTGCGAATTACGAGCGTATATGGGAGGATCTTAGCGAATAACTTGCCGAGTTAAATACGCGAGGGTGACAAATCGAGATTCATCGTACACCGGCGGAATGCGAGGTTTTGTTTGGCTGCGCTTCTTGCAGCTCGTTCAATGATCTGACTTGTCGTTTCCATTGTTGCATCTCGGAGCGTGCACGTGTAATTCC